AGCTAGATGTCAGACAACTAGATTGTTAGTATTGCAGAGCAACACAAAGATAATTGTAAAGAGTAGGAACAGTAGCACAGTTCCTCTGCTTACAGATGTAACCTTTCCACCTTTCCACAGTAAGTTGTGGTGCCTAAAGAAACTCTGATCTGCTCTTTTTAACATTCTTTCTAGATACATCTGAATGTTAAAAATGACCTCATCTAGAATGTCAAGATATGAGGTCAGAACCTTTTTTGGGGGTTTTCTACAGGCAGCAGAAAACTATTTAAAAAACAACAGCAAAAAATGTTTCAACTTGTAAACGAAATTTATTGAAATCCAGTAACGCACTCACTGTGTTGAAGTCTACTTAGTAGACTAAAGTCTACTTAAATTGCTGAAATATTTTAATCAATTCAAGAGGTATAGGTGTGTTGTCTAAAAGGAATGTACATCAATGGCAGACCACGGTTATAATGTAAGATTGCACATTCACACTATCAGACAAGGAGCTTCATTGTCTACATTACTATCACTCCAGCCCAGGAATGTTACAGTTTAAATCTAGCAAGACAGACAAACTTTAAAGAAGGCATCTCTGTCATAAGATGTAAAAATAAGCAAAGTTGTCCAGAAATGCAAGATCATCATAATGTCCGTACAGGAAGACACAACAGAATTGCATATTAAATTAAAATGCTTACTTTTTTTTATGGGTACCATAATATATCTACCCAGCACTTCAAATGTACAACTTCAGGAGTCAGCATTAACATTAGAAAGTAAATTGCCTGGATGTTTTATTAATACAAAAAAAAATAAAAAATGAATGCCAGGCACGATAGCTAGCACAAGCTCAGACGTCCTGTATATATGCTGAAAACCACAAGATAAAAACTCTTATTTTACTCACAGGCACCCAAATAATATTCATGGAGCTTTCATCAGGGCCTCACATATAACATGCAAGATATTTGTCCCAGCTGTCCCAAAACCCTTCTTTCTGTGCTAACCCAGTCATCCTTTAATAAAAACCATATCCCTATGGACGAGAGAGTGGCTGGTTTCAGGGAAAAGGGAAGTGAATGCTACAGATATGAACTTTTCTTTAAAAGAGTGTGTCTGAAAATGACTTTGCACAGGATGCCACCATTTTTTTTAAAATCCCGTACAGTATGTACTGTACTGTTCCAAGTGGCGCAATGCCTTTTTGTTGTAGTGATATTTGTTGGCACTTCAAGAATGCTGGGGGTTGGCACTCAAAGGTATGTGGTTAAGAAGCACCGACCTAATTTCTGACTGAGCTCCACCAAATTTAGATTCTACACAAAGCTTCTGTAACCAATGCAGACTGGAACTGAAGACCTGTATGAGAAGAAAAGGGTATGGGAGATGAAAGAGGTAAACCTCCATTTTAAAAGGTAAAAGCCATACGCAGGCAACACCCAGCAGCATTTGATCAGTTTAAACACGAATCCAGACAAACACTAAGTTTCAAAACAACACAGTCAACCCTGTCTTTCTGGGATTTAGATGCATGGCCAATTTCCAGCTTCCTCTTCCTCATAATCATTCACGTAACAGGAAGATGACTTTGTTTTTTACCAGGGAGGCTGGTTTCTTCTTTATTTAGACAACACTAGAACCTAAAATAACTGAGAACTGAGAGGCACTGCAGCACCATTCACACATTTTTAGTAAGGTTCTCATTGGAAAAATATTTTTATATTTTTCTTACTGGATAGGTTTTAGGCAGTAAACCTACATTCAGTAGAATGTAGCCTCCATTCAAACGCAGTCTAATGCAGTGTTGTGTACAAGACGTCTAAATTGAGGTGAATTCATGTCTTTCTAGAATTGTTTTTTAAAAAGGAAACATTTTTATGCAACACCAAGAGAGGGAGGAAAAAACACTTCAAAAGGGATTTATACAGAATAAAACTCCTGCTGAATTTCAGTCTGGCTTTTGAAATTTCAGTCAGAACTTTCTATTTGGAAAACGAACGCAGAATGACCGCCTGTAGTGTCAATAATGAGAAATTAAATTATGCTACTGGATCCCTATAACCCAAAGAAGGAAAAAAACTCTACAGGCAAAGGGACTAAAACAAATGAGGACACATTTTTGAATACCTTTGTATTCATTTACCAAGTTATAAATTATCCAGGACAAGATGTCAAATACTCAGTTCTGGCAGTTCGCTGGAAGGGAATGTGTCCTCCACCTACCCTGACTTCTCCAGCTATCATGTCTCCTGAAAGACGTGCATCATACTCAGTAAGGGCTCTGAGCCACAATTAAGCCCATAATTTAAGCAAATGAATCACTGCCGGCCTATCGGATCAAGAAAGAAAAGCAAAGTTAAAAAAAAAGGGAGAGGGAAGAGCAAGTTCTTGGGGGGGGGAAGGTTCTGCCGTGATCAGGAGATAATGACATTAGATAATCTCTGATTAGCTGTCGTTCTAATTATTATAATAACAACAACAAGGAAAGGCGTTTCCCAACGGTACTGTTTCCCTTCAGCCCAATGCGAATTTCTTAACATTCTTGCAAGGGTACAAGAATGTGTGCTTTGTGACAGCTCTTGTATGTCTTCTGCATACCACTTAAAAAAAACAGAAAACAAAAGAGAAACAAAAATAAAATCGATTACTTCAGGAGTCGGCTAACTGATCAATCCACAGGACTGTGGATCCGCTTGAGAAAGAATCGCTCCCCGCCCCCACCCTGCCCCTGCTGCAGACACTGCTCCATGCATTAGTTCAGTTTCCAGTTGCTTGGCAGGGCAGTCTGGGGGTTTAGCTCTTGGCTGCTGGCTTGGCTCGTCTTCCTGGCCCTCCATCACCAATTTGCCTTCACTGCTTTAATGTCGCTTACAAGATTTTGTGCCAAACAGATTCCAAAGATCTAAAAAAAAGGGGGCACTTATTAGTAATATTAAAGGCAGCATCATGAAAACCAACTGATGGGAATCTACTTCTGTAACTTTTACAGGACATGTTGCCAGTGGTGTAAAGGTGCTTTAAGAGTAGCCTAACAAAGCTGTTTTAAAAAATGAAGGGAAAAGGTGTCAAATGATAAAGATGAAAAAAGGTTGTTCTGATGGTAATTTAAGGTGCTCTTGAATTTGCTCAAGCTAAACTGATTCTCTTAATTCTAGGGGTGTCTGTATTATAAGGCAGTTCCATCTGCTGGACAGGTGCAGTAAAACAATGCACACCCGAAGTGAAAACAATAATAATGAAAACAAGAATGGTGCTGATGTGTATCTGAAGTTACACCATGTTTTTACAATGTTTAGGTAGTCAAATTTGAAAACTAGACTTTAATGCATTTATTTTAATGCTCTATGTCAACACCAGAGGGCAGTGTCATTTAAGACCCAATATCTTAGACAAGAGGGCTGTCTCAATGTCGGAGGCAATCAATAAAGCCCACGTGACCCCAACACAGGAGGTGTTTTTTTTCCCCCATTTGTGAACTTCAAACAATATGTTCTTCAGAAAATAAAACACGGAAATATACCAGTCCTTACCTGAAGTAGTGCAATTCCAACAAAAATACCAGCAACAAGGATTAAATTGTCTTGAAGCCACTTTTCAAATTGTCCCACGCAGCCCTTGGTGTAAATATATTTTTGTTGATCTAGTTCCTGTTAGACAAAAAGAACCTTTTGTTAGACAGAAACTAAATTAACTGTGTGTACTGCTGTAGTAGCGTATGTGAAAGGGCCATGTAAAATGATCAGTGAATGCTATGTAACACTTCTGTCCTTTAAAACTCCTTTTACAAAACAGGTGGAATTCCACTGGCTTTTCCACCATCAGTTTGGATAAGTGGAATAAAACAGCAGGACCACAGTAGCACTACAAAGAGTAGCAGCTAAGAGTTCCAAACTTTGATACTAATGGACAGACAAAGAAACCACGACTTCTGTGTAACTTAGTTGATGCGTGACTGGTCCTCCAGCTACACACATCCCAATACAATATCAAGATCACAGCACACCAAGCTGCCAAAATAGCTGAAGCACATCCCTACATCAAATGGATTAATTCATGGGATTACCAGAAACTTTTGTTGGGGGGGTAAAAATGACCATATGAGTGGCTTAATCTGAATTTATGAGTAAAAAACAAGCCTAAAGAATTAACTGCTACAGTGTGCTTTCTTTTATAGAAGAACTTTTGTTTAACTTATTAACGGCCATTTTGAAATGACAGACAAGTCGAACTCTGTAAAAGGATGTGTTTCACTACAAGCTGGATGGACTGTGCAGTTGAGGAGGGGAGGATATTCAATAGGGAGATCCAGAACCTAGACACCCCCCTACCCCTCTCCAGAGACCCCTCTTTGTTTGCAAAAGGCACAGACAGAAGGAGTCTTTTGTTTCCTTGAGAAACCAACAAAAAAAAAAAGGCTTGGCTATTCACATACGAACAACGCTGCTGTCTGTGAGGAATGAAGGCTTGGTAGTTTGTTACAGGAACTGCACCACTGCCACAACATGACTTTGACTAAAGGACTCAGAGGTGTTCCTGCTGCCTTTCACTTTGTGAAACCCTTTTCTTCCTGAGGGCAACACACCCCACCTAGTTACAGGAAAAAAAAAAAAAAAAAAAAAAACTTGGCAGTACAAAAACTAAATTCACTAATTGCCTCAGAACAATTCGAATTTCTCAGAATTGATTTTCCTACCAAAGACTGTGTAAGTGAGAGTTGTGGGACAGTCTCCATTTTTGTTGGTGAAAATACTTCTAAATTCAATACATCAATTCATGCAAATAATCTTAATGTCATCCTGAATTCTATTATTTACCATATTTGTGTTCTGTAGGCAGTTCCCTGGGTGTACAAATATGATATATAACAGTTAAAATTAAAGTTTATATACTATATACCATGAGCTAGGAAAAGAGATTTTTATCTCCTGAGAGAATACTGACATCAGTGGCACATACAGTACTGTACTGCCTTTACATGTCCATTTCAATATTGAAGAGTCTGAAGGCCAAGTTTGGAAAAGTGTCTGCAGATGGAATACTTACAGAATGAATACAGTTGTAATCAAATATTAACAAACTGCATTCCAAGGCTGAGACTGCAATTTTTATGAAACACAATTTTTTGTTGCTCGTGATTCCAAAACCTTTGTTCTAAGCAGTTAGAAAATGGATGGATGACCTACGCTGTACTGGAAGATAGCCAACATAATCACTCTCCTCTGTCATGTCCAGTGTGCTGTCTGTTTGCTGATTGCATTTACAGGCTTTAAAGTACACGATTTAAGCCCCACACTATTCCTTAAATTTAACCCTGTTTACTTTTTTAAATGTATGTATTGAGTCTTTGAAGTGCCACTCTTCTAAATGGAAATATCCACATCTTAATGGCACACTAGATGACACAACTGGAAATGTATCTTTTCTACACACATTCAGACGTACTGCAAATCAGTAACATTAGAATCAGCTGATCTACTAAGTTAGTCAGAAATCCTGATTCTTTCATAGCTTTGGGAAATTTTTGAAGCAACTTTGGTGCTAACTGAGTTTGCATGTTTTCCCTCTGTTCATGTGGGTTTCCTGTGTGCTCTGGTTTCCTCTAATAGTCCAAAGACACACTGCTACGTTAAAAGTCTACTGGGAAAATTGAGCTTTGTGTGTCTGTATCTGTGTCTGTGTGTGCCCTGTGATGGACTGGCCTTGCACCTGTTGCTTGCCAGGATAGGCTCCAGCTCCCCCACAACCCTCAATGAGATGAAGTAGTTAGAAGATGGATGCATGGAAAAAAACAAAGTAAATTAACAGACTAAACCTCAATCTGAACTAGAGGGAAATTTAGGTACCACACAGAGAGACCACTTTTTTTTGCAGACTCATGCAACAACTTCATCAACTATTCCTACATCCAAGAATCCCAAGATGAGGAAACAAAGGAAAAATGCCATACTTACACCCTGAAGCCGAACGTCATAGCCACACTGTGTATTAAGTACATCTTCCTGCCCAGAAAGAAAAGGAAGATTTATTTGAAATGAAAAATCTGTAGTTGTGAAAACTGCAAATTAATTTAAGTACATGGGCAGACACAGTGTCTTTTGGTATTTGATCTCATCATGCTTGCCATTACTTAATTGGTTCAATTATTTGATTAACTGTTAAATTAAAAAAAATATATATTTTCCAGGACTCAAAATGTTTTACAGATCTTGCACTTTGAATCCAGTGAGTCTTTCATGGTCATCCACGCTGGGGAAAAATCATAACCATGACCCCAGCTGAAACAGTGAATCCTTTTGTATGTGTATGAGGGAAGCTAAAGGAGGAAGGGGATAGCAGAACGAGTATGAGCCCCAGACAGTGCAGAGGCTCTTGGTGTTGCTGGCTGAGCGAGACATGATTCTTACCGCAGGGTCTCTGACGCAGCAGGAGAAAGGCACTCCACAGCGCTCTCTGCTGGGGTTCAGCTCAGTGCAGTTAAAGTAGATATTCAGGTTCCAATCATTGGGGCCGTGCGCGCCACAGCAAGACCACTGCAAGAGCAAGCTGATGTTAGATAAGGAAGGTATGTGACGTCTCCTTCGGCTTATGGAAATAAAGAAAAAAAGAAAAACAAAAATGAGTCCTACAGATCGCATACAGAACCTGGGCTTTGCTGCAGTAAAAACAGTCAAATCCATGCTTGGGCCTAAAGGCTCATAATTGTTTCTGTGGCACTAAGCAGACTGAGAACATGGGACTCCCTCTGGGTGGATGCTCATCCAGCATGGGGATAACCCTAGTAATGCGGGCACACACCTGTAAAGCAGAGTGGACTGGAGCAACTGGGACAAAGATCCTTGCTCAGTCCCAAAAGAGACCCACAACCATCAAGGATTGAATCCAGTGCCCTGCTCACTAGTCCGTGCTGGTCAGTGGGATACAGAGGACTACAAATGTACTATATTCCATTAGTTTTCTAAGACTCCAAGACATCAACCAGTACAGATGGGTTGTAACAAAATGTAATAAAGAAATAGGTATTCCTGCAGAAATGAAAAAAAAAGAACAAATGTTTCAGAAAGTTAAACTTAGGAAGATTAAACTTGTTTAAAAAAAGTGGCTGTCGTAAACTACAGCCAAAGTGAGTTTGTCACTGATCTAAATAGAGCGTTTTAATTCGTAGAACAAAACTGTATCCCTTCCTGCACACAGTCACCGAGAGAACCGGCTTTGACCCTGTCTTGCGTATTGTGTTCCTCTCTGTAGGTCTCTTAACTGAAGCCGACTGTTTTTATAGCCAGCTCCCATATCAATGTTTTCACAAGAAGAAACTCAGCAGGCTCTATTGTGTTTCAGGCCTGAACTTCAGCTTGGCCCTGCCTCTATCAGAGCTGGAACATGTAGAAAACAACTGTCAAACCTTCATCCCTAAATTTATGGAAACTCAACATCCTGTATTTATTTGTCAACGGCAGGCCTTTTGACATCAGAGTGCAATGTTGCTCGCTTTTTATTTTACTGAAAATGCACAAGACCTTTAAGTTAACAAAAAGCCAGTATTTATATTCGTTTTACTGAGTTTATAGTTCAGGTATTTTTTTTTTTCCAAAATACCCATAAAACAAGATTGGCCAATATTCAGAACTAATCCCAGAGAGCTTGGTTTTGGTGCTGCATTTTTTCTCCGATTTGCGACAATTTGATTTCTTATCTAAAACTGTCTCGGCAGAACCTGAGAGGTTATCTGTGTACGTATTGCTTTGCGAAGTCCATTGCAGATGACAGAAAAACGTGCATCTTCCACTTCTGAGCCATGAACAAACAAGAATTCAGAAGCAAGAAATTACAGATGTTAAATTGAAATACAGGAGGCTCGAAACCATGAGTTTGTGCTTCAGCCTTCATCCTTTTGGCTGAGAAAGTGTTCCAGAATTCCCCAAATGATTGCAAGAATTTTCTCTTGCATCGTAGCCAAGTAAAATCCTCTTTTATTACAAATCGCAGCAGCTACCCAGAAAATCCTCTACAGGCTCATTTGCTAATTTAATATCCCTTAAATAAAGGGTGGTTCTGACATGCTGGACCAGACTCAAGAGCTGTTAAGGTGGGGTCTTAACATTTTCCAGACAAAGAACCTACAGTCATGTAATCTTATCGGGTAGTGGGACTCTGTATGTAATGATACATGTGTAAACTCACATATTCTTGTGCAAAATCTATGAGGTTCTGTAGGTCAATGTCATCCCGATATGCCTTGACGTTGTTATTAATGAAGAAATTCAGCTGATCCTTGATCCAGTCCTTAAACACGAAAGCTAAGATCCCTGCTGTTAGCTCCAGAAAAAAAATGAGACCTAAAAATACAGAGAACTGGGGAAAAAAAGGAAAACATGTTTAGTCTTCGCACTTGGTTAATGGGAGACCACAGTGGTTCACTTTACATAAAGGGAGGGGGGTCTACACACTCAGCATTACATGTTCAGAACAAAAACCAATATGCATTAAAACAAATTTTCATTTTTTGTAGTTTAAAACTAACAGAGCAGACAATTTATAATGATAATTAAAAGAATGTTTTGAGGCCAGATCAAACCAGAATACACAGGATTCTATGTTGTTTAAGTTAAAAATGCATGTTGTGTGCCCCATCTGTTTGATTTGTAATGTGTTGACTGTAAATACTTCAGGCAACACGTCAGGAAATACTTCAGTGTATCTATATCATGCTGGTCATAAATCACTTTCTTGGCTTCTGACAGGCTAAGATTGCTTTGAGGAAATTTATAGGTGAAAATGAAATTATATTAGCAGCATCTGTGCTGCACACACAAATACTGCACCTGCATTAATATCATTTTAGTTCTAGCTCACCGCAGTAGCAAAAATAATTTTTTGGTTTGTTTTGTCTGCTGTAGACAGGCTATTCTTCATGAGTATGTACACTTCTAGGACATACTGGTGAAATAAGATTCAATCTGCCGTTTTAGTACATACTGCATAAAGTCAAAAGTATCATCTGCATACAAGTATTTTTGCTTTTATTAAGACATATATAAGCCTGCATCACTGGCCAAAGTTAGCAATGTTGAAAGAGCGGTTTGGTACTACTACTGATACCACTTTTGACTTTAAGGCAGAATCAGCATTTATAAGATAATTCCCCATGTCCTGTACTGTTGACTGGACAAAGGGATAATCAGCCCATACTTTATTATGTTGATAAGCTCCAGAGATGCCTCTGAATGTAACACACAGTCTTAAAAGAAGAAGTATCATATACTGTACAGTATACATTTGATAGGAAAAAACACTGTCAAACGTATTCCCAGTATTTCAAAAGAATGCTGTGACTGAGCTGCTGGCCCTTCTAGCATAATTTATATGTCCTCTTCAGTCAGTTTAAAAACTACATACGCACATTCCGTGTAAGTACTGAGGAATGTGATTTTGGTTAATGACTAGCTAAAACTATGGGATTTGTTTATCTAAGTTTTAAACTTCCACACTTCAATTTTACTTTGGCTAAGGCATCAGCATGAGTAAAAAATTAAGGTGCCACGTTTTGATAAGAAAATGCATATTTGAAACGAAATCTACCCTACCTTAACAATATTGTTAAATATTACAGCTAAAATGTAAACTCTTTTCTAATTAACATCAGAGAAACTTATTTAGTGAAGTAAACATGTTTAGGTAATTCATATCACCATTGCTCCCAGATCATTGCCACACAATTTCTCCACTAACCATCAGGTTATTTAATATTGTAACTGTATTAGAGAAATTATAATGATGTTACAGGAAAGCAAACAGGTGAGACTTAATAGTAAGAAAAATAGATTTAAAAATATTTCTATATAATATCTTACAAATTTGAGGAGGAATGTATTTTCTCTGAGAGCTCCGATACAGCCAGCAAATCCTAAGATGAACATCACCCCTCCAACCACTATGAACAGCCACACTGGATCAAATCCTCCAAGGTCTGTGATGGAAGAGATATTGGACAATACACCCTGCAGGCCAGAGGAAGAGATTGAGCAGAAGGTTAACTCTGTGCCATCTCAGTCATGCTGAAGTGTCACTGAACAGCTCAACAAGGAGTCTGGATCAATAAGCTGCAATCAATCAAGTTAGCAAAAAAGAAGGAACTACCTGCTCCCAGACAGTTGTTTTTCTTCTATCTCAAAATGCAAAAAAAGACTTGAAAAAGACTTGATCAAACCATTAAGACATATTAAAATATTATTAAATCACTCTCAGTTTCTTAAAACATCTGCTCATGTACAAAAAGATTTACTTGCTTTACTTCTAGGTGCATAATTCACAGGTTAAAGCTATTGCTATAGCAACATAGTTAGCCTGAGTCTTATAAATGCACAGAAGAGAGGTATTGCATTGCTCTTAACTGAATCATATTACATGTCACTGGTGTACATATCATTAGCTTTTTAACACGAGCAAGATATTCTGGTGTTGGTGCAATGCATTTGATACAGTGACAGAGGTAGGTTGTTGCATTTCAGGAATGCACAACTAAAATGGCAAGAGGTCACAGTGAATCATTTTATTCACAGTCTCTTATCAATCACATTACGTTGAATCAATGACTTGTATCTTTCAGAACCAGATCAACACCTCCTAGCAAAATAACAGTACCTATTCAGTTATTGCACCAGTTACTCTGCTGGGAAGGCCAAAGAATTTGGAATCAGTAAAATCGAAGCTGGGTACTTCAGCTAGAGAATGAAATGGTAAAGGATTCATATTGATATTGTCATGATTCTATAATAAACAAGCTGAAAACACATTTCAGCATCAAGCATTTCAACTGTGTTACGGCGCTCAAGATACGTGCCTTCTCTGCCCATGCCCACAGTCCAATACCCAGGAATGCTGCTCCCAGCAACTGGAAAACAAAAAGACAAAGACAATCAACTTCATAGGCTTCATATATAAATTAGCATATTGCTGTTGGAAACAGGCGCCGGTTGCAAAGGAACAAATTGGTAATGCCACACTAAAAAGCAGAAAGAAAAAAAACGATATTTTTGGTTGTTGAGTTTTATTCAGGCATCCTCAAGAGACAAAAAGCTGTTTTTCTTCTTTCTACTCAACAGTGCAGAATTACCCTTTACTTGTTCCTTTAAATGAAAAGGACTAAAAATAGCTTTTTTCCTGGAACCAATATAATAGAAGAACAGTGATAAGTTCTAAAATATTTCAGTACAGAATACACAGTAATAATGTTGAGCCTAAAGTAAGCTATAAAATCTCATGGAACAACATTGCTTTTTGGATATTATTATTTTCTGCATTTTCTCCTCAAAAAACAGTTTTCAAAGGAACAAATTCAGGCTGTAAATCGAGGTGTGTATGTATTGGCAAAGAATACACACAACATAAGACTACTCAGAAAATAAAGGAGACTCATTAGATTCATCTGAACATTCAGTGCTCTAACCAGAGACACACAAAACTACTGTTGCACATGATAAGTATTCATTCTGCTTTAGGAAACCGGTTCCTCTTACTAGTTTATCCTGCCCTCTTTCATCTTACATCAGAAGTTATATAAATTGCCAGCTTGTCCTTACCTGTCTCACTTAAATCTGGGGCTGCCAGTTTAAAATTCCAGCAAAGAATTGGCTCCTTACCATCACTACAGCAACCATGTGCTCTCACACTAGCAATTCTAATGAAAAACGTGCCGAGTGTCATAGCTAAAATAACTATGCAAACTATTTTCAATACAGTACATGTATATCGACTATAGTTAAGGCCGGAGGATCTTCATTTGCCATTTGTAACCTCCTTCCTAACATACACATCCTGCTACAACAAAATCGCTGAATGTTTAATATACCGACATCCCTCATGGCTTGATCATTCAAATCTGCGTAAACAGAAGGTAGTGATATTTTGAGAAGAGCACATCTTTGTGGAGACAGTAATCTGAACTAGTCCTTCACAACACCTCTTATTTCTCCACTATACTGTATACACTCAGTTGATACATTAAGACAACCAGTAAGAGGTAATGCTGACTGGTCCTGCCAAAGTTATTTCAACATTCTAAAGGGTAAGGAGCTGTCGGAATGCGAGTTTGACATCTTTTCCTTCATCAAGAGCAAATCAAAATAAAAATTAGTCAAAGTATTTTATCTCTGACCTCTCAAGTAACAAAAGCTTCTGAAAAAGTACTTAATACTGCGTCAGAGACACTCATATGTCCTTCTGTTCTGTCCAGCCTTGAAAGCTTGAATCATTAACTGTGGGTTTTATTTCTCTCTGGCAGCCATTATCTCTGTGAATTCTGCTGCTAGAAAACTCAGCTTACTCGCTGTCTTCACATTCTTGCTGTCTGCAGTTTTACCTCTCTACTGTCTTGGTCACTTTAACAATCAATTATGTTAGAATGTCTAAGTGTAAAGGTTAGCTATTAGCAGTTAATAGTCCTTTGTGGGCTGTTCAAAAGTAAAAACCCATCATTTCAGCTGTGAAGCCAACTTCAGGTGTCTAGATTCCTACTTGTTCCTTTGCAGCTGGAATGCTGACACAAATACCTACGTGCAAGAACGACAGACACAACGTGTTCAGAGACAGGCAGTGGAATCCTAAGGAAAAGGAAATTGAAAGGCCGGATGTATTGAACGGTCTTTTTTTCCATTATGCCTTAGGTCAAACTGTGCAGCACACGAGCTTTGGGAGTTCCTGATTTTACTGAACAACTGGATGGCTGGAAGTTCACTCTGGAATGAAATAAACAAATTCTCTTCATTTAAACATTTACAGTGGCAACAAATGTGATTGGTGCCAATATTCATATGTTTCATTTCTAATGTCTCTATTGTAACACGGGCACTCCATGGCAACATCTAACAGCATGATAAAAGTAATAAAACCTTTGGTGTGTGGTCTTTAAAATTCCTTACCATTATCCATGCAATCACTGCACTCATTTACAGCCTAAGGCAAAACTCATGTTCTTTGGCAATTACTACCATGAATACAGCTTACTTTCCTGCAGCCTGCAGACTAAAACAACATACCCAACAGCATCACTGATTTTTTCAGTCCAAGCATGAAAAGATATTATTGTAAAGCTAATCTGAGTCAATTTATTTACCTAGAACTGAATTGGGACAATGCATTCGCCAGCAGGAACTCAGCCAGAGACAGAGTAATCAAAGAACTTTCCATGACCATGTTGTTAAAGTCGTTTTTTTGTTATTTGTTAAAGTCTAGATAGGCTACTATGTTCTCAACCCTTATATACGGTTTAGAGTACTTTAATTCTGATAAATTACTTAATCAGTAACAGTGAAGGGAGTCTGGTAGATCTTAGATAGAACAAGGGGTGGAAGAATAAGAGCTTGGATTAGTCCTGTCACGAAATTAGAACTGGTCAACTAATAATTCAAACATAATTAATACATTTAAAAGCTCTCTGAAACAAAGGTGTGAATTGTTTCATGTGAATGTAAACGTGCTTGAGCAACCAGTACAAAGTCCTGACGTGAATCTAGCTGAGGTCACATGATTTTATTCTGAGTCAGAAACAAAATGAAATGGAATCCAAGGGTGTTTGAAGAAAGTGGAACAGGGCTACAGTGGTACAGCGCTGATGGGGGATCAGTAGGTGTCACTATTCCTCAAGGCTCCAGTCCCTGATTAATTGTGGTCATTAAATATCATATAGCTTCAACCCCAGAATCCTGGCTAAATTCAGTTTTGTCCTAATTCCTTCCCTTCAACATAGTGGATGAAGTAATTTTCACTTCTGCACCTGGGCAGCTGTATAGTTCGTTCAACTGCAACCTGTCAGCAGGTCAGTGCTATTATTTAGTGCTGGGTGGGTGTAGTATCTACCTTCCTTTATGTAAGCTCTTATAAAACTCTATGTTTCTGAGCTTGGCACAATCATTTTAAATAAGTATGCACTGCAACTAGCAATAATTATAAAGTGGAGAGCAAAATTCAAATGACACTATGCAATTTCTAAATCACCAAGCTCTCCGAGACTGCCGAGAAGCAAAACTTCTAAATTTGGCTTGTGCCTGTATACCCTGTCTGTCCCTGTGACTAGCAATTTTCATAAATCTATAAACGCTGTTCCAGGTCCATTATTTTCCACCTACCTGTAATGTGAGAGCAATTTGCAATGAAATTACATTCCACTTAATGTATAAATAATCAATTAGTTGCATTACAGTGATCATTAGGGAATACTATAAGTACTGCTGTAATGAACCTCAGTGGTTATCAATATCATCATAATATATTCAGTATAACTTAGTTTGCATTAAAATAAAGCAGAAAAGGCACCTTGCAAACAAATGACAGTCCATATATGATTTTCTAAATATTTAGGGATAGGATATATACTGTATGGGAAAGGGTAATGTTCTAGTTATGTACTAGCAAATATCATTAGTGGTGCCACACTGTTTAGATTGCACATATATTCAAAAGCAAATATTAAAGAGGAAATTATTCACAAGACTCCAGTAGTTACTGTACGTCTGTACCAACACTCTTGAAATGAAGGACATACTGGTTTCTAAGACAAAGCAACAAAATTGCTTGGTTAAAATTAAACTGTTTAGTGCTGTTTAGAAGTGGTGTTTTATTGCCTATTTATCCCCCCCTTATACTTTGCATTTACGTGAAAAAGGATAAAAACAAGTTTTAGTACAGAGAGTACAAGTCCATCCTGTAAGGACAGTAGGTACCTCGGAACCCCACAAGAGCTAGCAACCAGATGTTTTCTGCAATTTCACAATTCCGTTAGTAGTTTCTTTTCCATGCAACGTTTCCTGTGGATCTTTGACCAAAGCTTCCTTTATTACATTACTATCACTGCACATGCTGCTAGCACCTCATACCCATTCCTCTAAAGCTTAACGCCACATCTGTAAATAAAAAGGTTATCATGTCTACATGAACAAAAGCTGTAATCTTGCAACACCAATTAAGCACAAATCCATTAACACACAGAAAATGCCAAGTTGTTTTTTCTTTCAAATAAAATGTTTGTTCACTGTTAAGAATAACCCGAGTTTAGCATATATATAATCCAATTCACTGCAGTCTAATTCATTTTGAGTCCTCCAGCAAAAGTCAATGACATCAAATTGTTGTGGTATACTGTACCAATTAATCTAATTTTATTAAAATACCGATTTAATTTTAGAGAACAAATTATAAGCAATGTTGTGTGCTGCGTTCTGTTATGTTAATTCTGTACATTTTAGATAAGAGATCAGAAAAGTGATAAGATTATTTTATTGGCCAGATACAATTTCTTGCATTAAGAATTT